GGTTCAGCCGGTAGCGGCCGAACTTGGGCCTGCACGGGGTGCCAGGCTCCCGGAGCGGCGCTCCGACAGGTGCAATGGTACCGGTGGTTTCTGGGGCAGGGGTAGGACTGCACCCCTACACGGCAACAGCTGCAAGGAGTGGGGGTTTCTTCGAACCCGGGGGGGGACACACACACGTTCATCCCAGGGCGCGCTCATGCTTCGTGCTGCCGTATTTTCACAAAGCCTCGTGGCTGAAAACACACGCTTTAAGAATTGTACGGAAGAGTTAGTTTTATTAAACCACTGAATTACAAAAATAAACAGAATGGAGGAAAAATAAAACAAAAAAAACTATACCGAAACTCGCACCCTAAGAAACGAGAGGTTGCAGCAGGCCGCGGGGGAAGCGCGGCTGGGCCGCTCGTTGGAACGCACCCCCGGCTCTGCGGTGCCCACCGCGCCCAGCTGCCCCGACCACCCACAACACCAACCCCACCCCCCTTCCAGCTGCGCGGTTCGAGCCAACGCGGAACAACCGCAAGGAGAAAGGGCAGAAGACGCGCCGAGCCGCTGAGCAGCTACAAAGCTGCTTTGGAAGGAAACTGCGAGAGTGACCGAGCCTCCCTCTCCGCTCCATGCACCCCAGCCATCTCAAGAGTTTTTTATTAGGTGAAACTGTTAGGCGACATAAACGCTGGCTTCACGTTAGCTCAGGCTACGTTAATAGAAAGTTGCTGTCTAAACGCCGAAAAAGGAATCGGACTAACTAAAGCCTGTCGCTGCTTCTACCTGCGGCCTTGAGCAAGCGGCATCGTCAATACCTCAGCCCAGTTCCTCGGTTTGCCCTTTTCCTCTTCAAAAGGGAGCGTTCTGCTCGTCCATGAAGGTCTCCCGAGAGCCTCCTCCCAAACGATGGCGAGCAAGAAGTTCAAGTTTGTGAAGCACTCCCACAGTGAAGACCACCGTGTAAAAAAATACTACAAGATTCTTACCCTAGTCAAGCAGGATGGAGGTTGTCAGGCGCCATCCTGAGAGAGCTTTAAAGCAGCCAGAACATCAGTAACCTTGGGAAGCAGGGTGAAAACCCCACAACACTCACTGCCCCCACATTCGGCTCAAGTTTATCCCAAAGAAATTCAACTCCCAACACTCCAGCGTGTGCTTACCGAGATTCACACAGAAACAAACTCGATTTCTAATGAACTCTACATGCAACTGCCATGTAAAAGCAGACTAACTCTAACTTGCTAGAACAATCAACTTTGTATTTAACGTATCCCCGTCTCTTAAGGGAGAGGCACCCTCGTGGTGATGTCCCAGGGGTGGAGAAAGCACTGCGGCTATCCAGCGAGCAGAAACCTGCAAGTACAGCTCCAGCGCGCTCTCCCGACAGCGGGAGACGCTTGCTCAGTACAGCAGGTGGAAGACTTCCAGTACCCCAGTGCCGCCAGGAGGAACACGTTCAGCAGCAGAGGGTCCTCTTCAGGAGTGCTCCGGGGGGCCCGCCCCGTGCCCGTTCACGTGAGGGTGCGATGGGGTTGAGCTCTGGGAGGTAGTAACGCTCTGCTCTGCTGTGGCAGCTGTCAGAGGCATGGAGAGGCTTTCGGGGGACAGCGTGGCAAAGTCTTGTCTCCAGTAGGCTTCGCACAGTGGAAGATCATTGCTGTCACACAGACTGTAGCTTTCCAGAACAAGCAACCCCAGTAAGGAGAGAGAGCAGGTGCAGTAAGAGAGGAGGGGAGGGAGGGAAGGGGTGGGGGGAGCAAGACAGAAGCAAAGCATTAAGAAAATGGCAAAAAAAACCGTTCGTGGATGTAAGGTCTGTGTTCACAAATTCATCACAAGTCTTGTGACGCTGGCCTTCCCTAAGCCACCCCGTAAGGGCTGGTCTTGAACCTCACGGGCCTGGTGAGGATCAGGGGAATTTCAGAGACAGAACTGTTGCTACAAACTGAAACGGAGGCTCAATTCTAACCCAGACACCCCAAGTCCCTGAAAAGATCTGGGCTGACATCCTGGCACCCCAAATATGGGAGTTCTGCTACTGGTTTGAGTGAGACGAGGACCTCATCCGTAATTACTTTACTTTGAATTAGATCACAACCTATGTGAGGAAAAAAAATCCTGCTCTACATTTAAGTTCAGCAAAAAAGCTAGCACGGTTGTTTTAGGGCCTGTCCCTGTCATGGTAAAGAAGAAACCTATTTGCACCCTCGCCCTTTCAAAAAAAGTGCTCCACAGAAGGTCTGGGTCTTCTGTTGAAGCTCCCCAGCCTGATTACAAAGTACTGCCGGCTCCTACCATTTTCAGCAGAACCTGAGCTAACAGTTCTTCGAAAAGCAGCTTGCTGGATTTGACCGCTGTAGACTATAGAGCTGGACGAACCAGCAGTGTGGGAAAGTAACGTTTTTAAACAACTGGCTAATTTTTGCCTGTGCTCTGAGGAAAACACAATGTGCAAGGGCCGAAACTAAAAAGAAAAATGATGGAAGAAACTGGAACAACACCAAAACAAATTCCAAAGAGAGGAAGGAGCTGCACACACAAGAGACACCCAAGACAAAGTGAGTGCTGGAGCGGAAAGCAGCTTGTGTTCAGAGTAAAACAAACCCAATGGGTCAAGTGATTTTGTTGTTGCAGCTTTATTTACATTTTTAATGTATGGACTTGAATAGATGCTTAGGGAAATATTTTAAGTGTAGAAATATGAGACACTTCAAATTGCACAAACATGAAACATGTTGAGATCTAACCCCACACTCAAGAGAGCTCCTGTGATCTCAGAGGAGAGAGCAATGGAACGTAAATGCAAGTTTGGGGTTTAGGATGAGAGAAGGCAAGCCGGGCTCGGAGTTACCGCTTTGGGGAACAAGCACACAAAGCACTAGCTGCAAGCATCTACTTCTGAGCTCTTTTCTGGCAGCATCACCCAGCTGGTTTTTGCAGTAGAAGTGAGAAGGCAGTGGATACGGGTTCTATATCTACCTGGGGCTTTTGTAAAAATCCATTGGAAGATCACCCTTCCCTACGCTCCCCAGCACACGGTGAAGCTGGGTTCAATTAGCAAAGACCTTCGGGACTGAACCAGAACAACGACTCCTTTCCTGTCAGTCTTAGACCTCGGGCCACGGTTTCCCAGGAGAACCTGGCCACAGCATCCACCACATCTTGGCAGGGGAGTTACCAACAAAATTTTAGCTGCATCAGAAGCGTAACTGCTTCTCCTGCTGCCCCAGTTAGAACAGTTCCAGAAGTCTTAAGCTTCGCCCCTCACATAACACTCCTCAAAAGTCAGGGTGAATGAGCAGCTACTGCACAGCCCGCAACAGCGCTGGCCAGCCTGCTACTCCGTCCTTTGACTGAGGGTTTCTCAGTGTGTGGAAGGGACTTCACTACTCCCCTCGAGGCACGCAGCCAGGTCTGCATGCAGAGGAACAGCTCTAGGAAACTACTTGAACACGGGGACTGAAAGCAAAGATTCCTTCAGAACAATCACTCGGCTTTAGTTTCAAGGACCTGCTTTTCAGGTCTCCTCATCAAAACCCCGTGATACACATAAAAGGCCTAGCAATGAAACCCGACCCTACACCCGAGGCGCGTCCTATTAGTTACTCACCCCGGGCAAGGGGCTGCCTCCTAAGCCCCTTTAGCACAACGGCAGTGACAACCGCTGGGCAGAAGCTCCCTTCCACAGGCTTTTCACAGCAGTTGGGAGCAGTGCACAGGGACCAAATGAGCTACACAGCACGTGGCAGCCCTCAGCTTTGCGGCACCCGGAGGTGTGCTGCTGCAGGGAGCTCACTTTTCTACGGTCTTCCCTGGAGGGACGACCTAAAATAAACTAACCAGTGACCTTCAGGGAAACGGGAGCATGGGGGAGCAGTTTGGCAGGATGGCTGTATGGAACCCATGTCCTGGCCTCACGGGACTGCACACCTCTTTATAAATCCTGTGGGATCAAGACCCACGAGTAAGTAACAGATGGTGCAGAGGGGCAACCCCAGCTGGGCTCACAGGACAGCACAGAATGCCCGTTTGTGGGCAAACCAGCTATTGCTTTTCCAGCCGTTTAAACGTGGTTATCACTCTACGGCTATGTGACACAACAGAAACCATTTTTCCCACATTAGACAAGAAGGTTTCATTAAAAATATCTTAGTACTCCAATTATAAAAGGACTTTGAATAAATCATTGTTTCTGTATTTACACACACACACAATTTCTTTGGTGCAGAAAAAGACAGGAAAGAGCACAGGAAGGGAATAAGTGCTAAAAGCAAACGACTAAGTGCTACATGATATGAGGCTTCAGCGGAGGGATCGTGAACTCTGTGGAGTTCCCAAGTTTCCTCACCTCGTGACCACTCTTATAAGAAAGAGCACGAAGGCAAATCCATTTGGTGTATGCCAACATCTGTGCTTAGATGTTAGTTCTGTTACGAAGGGTTGCCTTACACGGCATCTGGTGCCAGGCAGGTGAACAGACCATGCCAGCATGGTCAGAACCATTTAATCCAGAAGTTAAAGCTACTGACACACAGCGGTGGCAGCCCGGTGACAGCGTGAGAAAAGCACGTCTGGCAGACGTGAGGCACTATCATCCCACACCGCATCGCTTTGGATACAGCTCACGGCTACGCTGTACGCAGCCTACGTAGCGGATGCACCCCTGACCTACTGGGGCCTGGACTGGTGCTTGGGTCTGCGACCATCACTCTTCATTTCTGAGATAATTCTAGGATCCCTTGCCACCCCCCAAAAAACTGAGTAAAGTTTGAAAAACACCTCTAAACTGTTACCTCTAGTTTTCCTCCAGTGTCGCAGCCGTTCCTAAGCTATGTCATATCAATATCCTTTTACTCTTAAAATACGTATATTACCCATAAATAATGGCCTAACTTCCAAAGATAGTGAGCAATTAGGGTTTCAAGTTGACTTAGCTGGGGTTATAGGCATTCAGCATTTTTAGAAAGAAGGGAAAGGCAAAAATAGAAAACCTGGTCATTAAAATTCTAAATAAGATTTCCAAAAGTTAAGTTTTTGTTTAGAAATCATAGCATTATTGCACTGACTTCACTTATCTTGGACAGTGCAACCAAAATAATCAGGTTCTCATTTGTTTTCTCCTGCTTTCATTTACTGCATCATCAACTAGAAGTGCTGGAGTGCATGACAGAAAATAAAATAAAAAAATAAAGTGTCTGAATTCTCTAAAGCCTGTTTCCTAAGAGTATTTTTAAAATATTAAAAATACCACAAACAAATCAGTACTAAGTCTTTCATAGAAAATCCTATCCTAATACTTCATAATTCAATGAAACTGAGCATGTCTTTTTTGCTCATTGCAAACGTTCACCCCAACAGGATTCCAGGCAGCCGGGGGCAGTGGACTACGAGGAAAAAGGCACTCTGTGTAACTGGGTCACTTGTGAAAGAACTCACCACAAAGACGTGGTGATCTCATCTAACGTGAGGACCCAGCTCAGCAAGCTAGTCTCTCTAGGGAGAGAGACAGAGGCTCCTCCAGAGGGATACTCAGACAGAAGCCTATACCCCCAAGGAAATTCATCTCCTTTTACAATGATTACAAAAGAAGCCTAAGCAAATTATCTGTCAAATCTAGCCAACTAAAGCAGGCACCTAGAGTGGGATGCTGTGAATACCTCCTTCACCATGACATTTATACCCTGTAGGATATCTACAGGAAAAAGGCAGTTGCTTTAGTTGCAGAAAAAGAGTTTGACCTAATTAAAACTGTGGGAGCCTGGCTAGCTGACCGGGGACATGTAAACATCGAAATGTTAAGTCAGCAGGAACTTAATAATTATCGCACACAGCTGGTGTAATAGCCAATGAAAGACAAGA